CGTATATGGCAGTTTCCAATCTATAACCTCTGTGATCTGTGGTTGTCTTCATCTATGGTTACATTGAGCTGTCAGAAGCCTTGTTCTATGGTTGTCATTTACGGGAAACATAGCCTAGTTTTAGTGTTATTTAAACATTAAGCCGAAAAAATGGTAAGAAACGTGTTATTTAGTCCCCATCAAGACCTGCTAAGTCCCCTTTGCTCACTTTTCAGCTTTTCTACTCATTTTTCAAGTCCCTGGTGGGAAAGGACGTGGTGGTGGAGCTGAAAAACGATCTGAGGTAAGTGGCATCCACCAAGATGAGTCTGAGTGGGTTTTCAGTTGTTTAACTCAATTGCAGCATCTGTGGGACGCTGCACTCAGTGGACCAGTACCTCAACATAAAGTTGACCGAAATTAGCGTCACCGACACGGAGAAGTATCCTCACATGGTAAATATACTTTGTCTATTACCTTTACAAGTTGCTTCAATCAATGCTAGTTGCCGATTAGCTCAAAGCATGCAAATAGGTCGGTAGTAATTGAGTGTGGCCCTAACGGTTGTTATTCTTGAAGTTGTCAGTGAAAAACTGCTTCATCAGAGGCTCAGTTGTAAGATATGTGCAGCTGCCTGGGGATGAAGTGGACACACAGCTATTGCAAGATGCAGCCAGGAAGGAGGCATCTGCCCCAACGCGATAGTGTTAAGCATTCCAGCATTGATTGAGCGAAAGGATTACGAAGGACTTATCAAGGGGCCCACCAAATCATACAAATTAAGTTTAAGTTGTTTTTGAAATATTTTATTTAAAATATACTTAATAAGATCTAGGCAGTATTAAACACTATATTTGGCATAAGTCATAGTCCATCACAATTAATAATTCGACCAGATTTCATCCTAAGGTAGACTTAAGGGGAAACGAAAGGTTTCGGATATTTATACATACAATAAATAAGTGCCAGTGTGCAAGGCAGCGATTTGCTTTGGTTCTATGTACAAGAAAATAAATAAACGTCTGCATAAATCAACAAAATGAAAACAAGGCCAGATGAGGAGCCGATTTTACTGCTCAGTGCTGAAGTACGAGTTCTGCATGAGGTAGAGCTTGTCGATAGGATTGGCCACACTGGATGGGACGTTGTCGCTATGGTGTGATTGCGACTGCAATTCCAAGTTCTGTAGCGAAATCGTGTCCGAAGTGGCTTCATCCAGATGGTCAAAGTTCGTGCTATCATCCAAAGATATGTCCGAGCTGCAGAACGATTCGCCTGAATGCGCTGGGTAGTTATCTGGAATTTTTCACATACTACATGTTATATTCTATGTAAAACAAGTAAATTTAACGTTACCATCTGGCGAGTAGGGCATGTTGGGGTTTAGGGGCTGCCCAGAGCTTCCATAGCCCAGCCCGAGCCCAAACTCACTACTAGCCGGACTTGACTCTTGTTTGATATTTTTATCCTCCTTGTCGCTCTTCTCCTTGTCGCTGGGCGACTTCCCATCCTCCTGCTTCTGCTTCCTTTGGATTTTCTTCATCTTGGCCCGCTGGTTTTGGAACCACACCTGCACCACCCTGACACTCAGGCCAGTATCTTTGGCGAGCGCTTCTCGCACTTTGCGGCAGGGCTTCGGGCTGACCTGAGAAGCCAACATTTAAACTACCGAACCCGGTTCGATTTCAATCGGTCTTACCTCGAAAGAGGCTTTGAATTGCCGCCTTTGGGCCGATGTGAGGATGGTTCGCGGCCTTTTAGGGCCTCGCCTGCCGTCCCGCGGCCTGCTGTTTTCATCCAGCAGGTCTTCGTCCCCGCTATGGGCCTGCTGCATGAGATAGAGCTCTTTTTCAAAGTCCTGTCTGCAGAAAAGCTGACCAGCGCGCAAAACAAATTGTTCACCTGCAAAGGAAATTCAGATTTTTCTATCTATTCTATTACAATTAAGTAGGGCGGTTCGCAGATAGCATTTGATATTCTATGAATATCCCAGAATGTTCAAAAAATATACAGAACATTGCGGGAATATACATGTTTGAATATTCCTAACATGAATGTTCGTGGAATATACATGCATGTATATTCATAAAAAGTATCTCCTAGGTATGTACATACTGGGTATATGTGCAGATGAACATGCCAGGTATTATTTATTGTGTATATGTGCAGTTGAATATACCTAGTATGTTCAAAACAAATATTCTGGTAATATACATGAATGTATATCTACGGTATATTCCAAATTGATTGAATATAAATTTTGCGTGCCCGCAGCAGAAAAGTAAGGGCACGTACAAGTACAAGAGTTTAAATGAACTTTTCTTTTTAAATGCGTCAACGTTATAATTTTATTGGGCAATATTAATAAAATTTCTACATTACTCAAATAAATTTATCCGGAGCTAACAGTTCCCACCCTATGAAATTCAAACAATTAAAATGCATATAACAAATTCAAATTACCCGATTAGTGTGTACACGGATTACGTCCGCCTATAACGTGACATTCGAGAGTGACAATGAGAGCGAACCAATGAGAATCATATTTTACGCAGTGCTGCTTGGCGGTAACGCCAAAGCTCTCAGAATTTCCGAAAAGCTGCAAAGCTTATAATTTATTGGTTATTGGCATAAACAAATTATTATGTGCTATTACACAAAT